ATTTCTTCTCTGACCGAGGTAAGGTTGTAAAACAATTGTTTTTCCATAGCAATGCCAAATCAAGGACTGATAAATCAGCTGGGTTAAACCTTCAATGTCAGATTGTGAAGTTTTCAGTTAAACACTTGGATTTCTTTATCAATAATATAGCTAACAAGCACACACACATATGCATACACAGTTATTGTATGCATGTGTGGATGCTCATCTTTTTACATATGTAATTTAATTGCATTCGATATTATAATATATAGTATAATTCATTAATAATTCCATGCACAGGAACAATAAAAAAAAAAGAAGATAGGTATAGATCTGGAATGGGTTTTTAGAGCTTCAGGTTAACTCCTGGATAGCCCTTGGCATTGAGTCCTGTCACTTTGTAGGTAGTGCCGGCCGGAGCGGGCTGATCGAACTTGGATGCAGTGGTCACATACAGAATGTCCAGATTGGGTCCACCGAAGGCAACCGAGGTAATCTGCTTGGTGGGCAGCTTGATCTCCAGCAAGCATTCGCCCGTGCTGTAACGGCAATGCAATCGGATTAGTTTGAAATGGGATAAACGGAAGAGTCGGGCTTAACGTACTTGGGATTGACTTTGTAGATGGTGGAGCCATTGAATGTGGCCACATAGAGGTTGCCCTCGGTGTCAATGGTCATGCCATCGGGCAAGATGTGAGTCTTGGGGCTGTCCTTGCGCAAATTGTAGATAACCTTGGGATTGCTGGCGACGCCAGTCTTGAAATCATAGTCGTAGGACTTCACCTCGTAGTCGGTGGTATCAATGTAGTAGAACTTATTGGCCTTCTCATCCCAGGCCAGGCCATTGGAGATGCCGACGTCGCTCTTCACCACCGTCACATTGCCGCCCGCCTCCCAGCGGTACAGTTCGCCGTGGCGGTGCGTGAACTCGTCCCCAACGTAGCGCATGGTGCCGAAGAAGAGGCGACCCTTCGGATCGGCCTTGGCGTCGTTCAGGCGATTCTCCTTGAAATCGGACTGCACCTCGAACAGAGTGCGCACCACCTTAGCCACCGGCGAGACACCGTCCCAGTTGACGATGACGACGCGGCGGCCACAGCCGACGGCAAACTCCTGATCATTGCCCTCCACGGGCAGCACAAATGTGGCGAATGTCTCGCCCTCAATCTGAGTCCTGTACGTCTTGTTCTGTCTGTAGTCGTAGCGCAACAGGCAGCCCGCCTCCAGGTCCACGAAATACAGACTCTGCCTGGCCACATCCCAGTGAGGTCCCTCGCCTAGGCCGGCATACGAATCGGGTAGTGGCTCCACTTTGTACGACATCTATGAAGCAAAAAAAAAAAAAAAAAAAAAAAAATATACATATGCAGAAAATAAAAAATTATGAGAATTAACGAAACAGCTGAGAACATTTAAATTACCGTTGGAATGCACAGTGTGACTAAATAAATAAATATGACTAATTGGGCTAATTTCGACTGCATGTTTGAATTGAGCTGCTTAATGTTAGCAGTTGTAACTGTGCACTGAAGCAGCTGCCGGCAGCCACAAGTGTTTTTATTAGCCAATACGCTAACAGCCAGCAACAACAACTACAACAACAAACGCCAGTATTAATTCCAGTTTGAGTTTGTTGATTTTTTTATTTCTTCACAGCTGCTGCTGTGACGCCATGCCCTTCACCTGCTCGGGTCGCGGGCCGAGATTTTCAACTTTGTCAGCTGCGTTTGTTGTTACTGATGTTGCTGTTGCTTTGATCACGTAATTGCCATCCATCTCGCTGCTGTTGTTGTTGTTGTTGGTGCTATTGAACTTGCCTGCCTAAAATCGCGATCCGTTTACGGTACTCGCAGCTGAAATCTTCGCACACATACACACTCAAAGCAATCTCTAACAATGATATGTATGTATATCAGACAAGGACAGCATATGCAAACGGTATCGAGCTTCACTGAGAAACGACTTAGAGCACAATATCTTACAATGTATGTGTGCGTTAGAGAAGGACAGCATATGCAAACGGTATCGAGCATCACCAAGAAACGATTTAAAGATGGTGACTCAAGGATAACACTAACAAAGCGCAAACAGACAATCACAGTGATGCATAACTTGTTGACTTATTAGTAAATTATTGTTTAACAAAAAGTGTTCTATTAATCACTTGTGGTTGGCATTTCAAAGATTTTGTAATTGGCTATTGAATAATAATAAAAACTATAGAGCTACTAGCAGCAAACAGCTGAAGGGTAATGCTTAATAAGAGAACTGTAAAAACTTGCAAATTGAAAGTCATTTATGGAAAAAAAGGGGGCTTGAGTAACACTTGTAAAATGCACATATTGATTATATTTTCAAGCGATTAGGCAAAGCTCTGCCTAGGCAACTATCTGAAATCGAATTCTTATCAAAGGCAATAGAAAAAAAAAATTTAATTTGATAATTGATTAATTGCATATTAGCTTCTGTTATTTATTTTTATTCTTTTTGTTTTTTGCTAGCAACCACAAATGTCCTTTTATATAGGATTTATTTTTATTTCACAATCAATTTGAAAGTTTATGCTTTTAGAAGTGGAAAAAAAAAATCACAGCTTTCTCCATGCATTTTAGGCAGGACTTAAATTTATTCTCTTTCACTTATAAACATACCTTTGGAATATGTTTGTTAATTCGAACTTAACGGTTAAACAACGGCTAGACCAATAGGACACAACGCGTACAAACAGTTGGCGTGAACTGAGGTTTGAATCGCCGGCTATGAATCTTTTTATAGCCAAATCTGGGGACAGCAGCAGCCGGTGTATGCGTGATATACTTACATATATACATAAATATATATATATATGATTGATAAGCGTCAAGTGTGAAGCCAAATGCTGATAAGACTTACTCAAGCACCCATACACTCACATTGCATATAAACAATTGCTAATAAGTATATCTATGTATGAAGAAATGAACAACAGAAGGGATTGCTATCGCAATCAATACTCGTTAAGTTCACTGCAAGATGAAATACGAGAAGTGGGCGTGATGCCAGACCAAGTAATAGTTGTGTTTACTGTACAGAATACAGTAAAATCTGGATAAATTCTACACAGTTAAATCAAAGCTTCTGAGCTTCAGGATATCGAGCCATTTGACATAAAATTTGTAAAAATATTTGAAGAATTCCTTTTATTTTTTAAAGACTCTGTTGCCATGCTATAGACTTTACTGTACTTAAATAAAATTGCAAAAAAAAGAAACGATTTTACTGACAGCTTGTTATTTAATAAATTTTTTTGCTGTGTGGGCGCTTTTGATAAGTAGAATATTTATATAATGTTGTTTGGTACGCATATCATATTGTTATTTATATGTGTATAGGCAGGCATATGCATAGGATTTATCTGCGCTTCCGGTCCGCAAATTAGCGATAAATTGCATTGAGAATTGCTTGTGCCATGCAAATCATTTGCGAACCACTGTGCGTGCCGAAAATCAAAGGATGCTAAATCGGCCGATGTGTCTGAAGACCGGGCATTATTTATGCGAGCGATCTTTGCCCTGTTGGACAGCCGGGTGGTACTAAACGGTCCTTATCTCTCATAGCCAGCAAATGACTTGTCAAATATTTTATTTGATACTTAAATTTGAATGTTTTTTTCAATTAATTTGCTACATGATTTATGGCTGTTCTTTGACACATAAACTAGGCATTAACGATACATATGGACTATAATATACACATTAATGTTATTAATAAACTTTCTAATCTTATGCGAATATTTTAAGCTCAAAGTTCTTAAATAGAAAGACTGACATTTACTTGAAAAATGACAAAGTGTTTATCACAATTATAAAATATTTCACAAATTCTTTATATTATATGCACGTATATTATATAGTATGAGTCCCCGCATAAAGTTTATTAAATAGATTAGCCTGGCAGATACTCAAGCTAAAATGTTTATTAAGTTGGTATATATTTTTTGTAATTATCGAGGAAATTCATATATTCATTCAGATTTGAAGCTAAATGGAGATTACAATGATAAGAGCCATATAGATATGCATATGCACTTGATATATAAATTAGTAATATGTATTTTATTTAATAAGTGCATATCAATCATTATTTATCATCCGTAATTATCGACTGTAATTGAAAGTCATATAATGAGTGCAGCTTCAAATAAATTGCAATCAAAAAGTAATTATTAAAGTGAAACTGTGCTTCGATTGGAATTTGATAAGGATAATAAATAAATAAATAATGTCAATGATGCTTGCAGAATGCCTGTAGGAGATTTTTATGGGATCAAGTGACATACACCATATATCATATAATACACAAATCTTTACTATGATAGTAAAAATTTATATATTATGAAAAAAAAAAAAGGAATATGGAAGGTTAAATTCATGTAGGGTAAGAACAATAATTTAACTAGTTTCGTTACCACACAAAGCAGAGCATTGAGCAGTCAGATACGCCCGCCGCAACATACATAACTATTTGCATTATACCATGTTCTTATTGATAAAATTAAACTCTGTTTCTCGTGAGGTTGTAATGCATTGATTTTACCTTTTATGTCTTATTACTTAAAAGCAATAAAAAATCAAATTGAAAGCAATTACTATAAAAAGTAGTATATAGCAATAAATAAACCAAAACAAAAACCAAAACACAGCCACACAAGCGAAACGTGTGGAAAGCAAACTAAGCGATTGAATCAGCTGATCATACTCGATAATTGACAGCAGCATCCCTGTCTTCCATTTAGTATTGATATCGAAATGTGAAAAATTTTGTCTAAACTCGGAGGTATTACCATAATAACTAATCATTCGTAAATAAAATTGCACAAAAAAAATGTTCAACAAAATTGAATTCAAAAAATGTTGTCATATTTTATGATCGATTATTTGTCTTGCTGTTAGTTAACATGAACTGTTGAACAATAACAGCAGGATAACATTGGCCAATCTTTCGATTTTAGTGTCATCGATTGTTCATAGAGCAATTATCATTTGTTGTTGTTTCGTCGCAAGGTTCGGACGTGTTGTATTCCGAGGTGCACATTGGAAGTCGTTCGGCTCTGCGTTCATTTCATTTTTTTTTCTGTGTAATTTTGTTTTGCATACTGAGACGCAGACGGACACACGACCACGGCGGAGTCGTTCTGACTAACCGATACCGTTACCCAAGCCTGTGCCCAGCCATTAGTAGATGTGAAATGTGACGACACAACGAAAAAGTGTCCGCAATCGCGCAGCCGAGGCGACAAAAACCATTTTGCAAAAAGAAAAGAAAAGAAAATAAAAAGAAATACAACAAAAAAAGTGAGAGGAATCGGCAGCGACGCTCACGCGTTGCGCCCCCATTCAAAATAAAAGTGAAAACGTGCAAAATATACAACGAATAAGCAAAGCAAGAAAGAACAGCAGCAACAAGAAGATATTAATTATAATCCGAAAATGTGCGACGCTGTCGCAACCACCACACCAGCAACACCAACCATCCCAGCAGCAGCGGGATCTGGACCAGGAGTGGCTGCTGGGGATACCACCACATCGACAGCAATGGAGGAGCGGACGCGACAAAGTTGCTGTCGCCTGTGCATTGCGCCCGCCAGCGAATGCATTTCGATCATTAACAGTTATGCGGCCGATAAGGAACCGTTGGCCACTAAAATACACAACTGCGTAAATATCAAGGTGAGTAAATCAAATGTTGCCAGCGGCATACGTAATACACTCATCCACACACATTGGCAACGGCATCGACGTCGCCATCGATTCGATTTCTACCTGCTGTCGCTGCCGTTGCTGCTGCTGCTGCGCCAGTGTGCTCCTTTAATGCGAAACCGTTATACACACTGATGACGGCTGGTACCCATTCCCCTACTGCTGCTGCTGCTGCTCGGAGCCGGAACAAACGGCCGGCAGGCAGGCAGCCAGCCAGCACAGCCACACCCGAGCTGTGCTGATGGGTAATCTACTCCTGCTCTTGCCGAGCGGCATTTCCTGTCTGTGCGTGTATAATCGATAACACTTCTAATATCGACAACTTCACCTAGCGTTTGCTGGCCAAAAAAAAAATAGACAAAAAAAAAAAAAGAAGAAAAGTAGCCAGAAAGTGAGGTTAAATGCGAAACCAAAAGTAAAATATGCCTCATCAGACGCGAGCTGCTGCTGCTGCTCTGCTACTGGCTGGCCCCATTTGATTGTGCAAGCACTGGCGATGACGACAACGACGACGAGACCGAGCCAAACGTTGTTTCGTTCGTCGCCAGCTGCAGCAGTAGCAACGGCAACGGCAACGGCAGCATTCTCTTCTACCCAATACAATCCAATCTCCACCTCTGCCTCAGTCCCCCGTCTAAAATGGCACTTGCCCGTGAGCAACATCATCATCATTGGAAATGGAAACGGAATCGAGCGTTCGCTCGCATTTGTGCTTGTCCATGCCGTGCCATGCCGTGTGCTCCGGCTCTGTGCCGTCTGCCTCTGGCTTTGCTTGAAGTGCCAAGTCACGATGCCCGACAACGGCGACGACGACGCGACGGCCATCGCCGTTTATTGGTATTGGTGTAACTTTGTCGTTGTGGTTGTCGCTGGCGTTGCCTGTGGCTGGCTGCTGCTGCTGCCGCTGCTGCCGCTTGCTTGTTTGCTTGCTTGCTTGGCTGGTTTGTCGCTCGCTGCTCGATTGCCGACGTTAACGTCGTTGTCGTTGTCGTCGTCGTCGTCGGCGGCGTCATCATCATCGGCATTTCGTGTGCTACGTTGGCATGAAACTGAGCAGAAACCAAACCATGAGCAGCTGGCGTGGCTGTGGGATTCAGCGATGGTCATTCCTATTCCCGTACATGCAAAGCATTGAGGTTAGAATTGGCCGGCAAAAAGCAGAATCCAAAGCAGAAGCAAAAGCCCACCATTAATAATAACAACAAACTATGCTCATTGTTTATTATTTACACATTTTTGTTGCCTCTGCTGCGGCTGTTGCTGCTTGTGCTTGTACTGCTTCTTCTTCTCCATTTTCCCTATTTCCCTGTTTGAAATGTTTTTGCCGCTCAGCTCAAAATTAGAGATGGGCCAAGTGCGTGCTTGCCCACTTCAAAACAGAAAAGCGAAACTTATCGAACATTACTTAAAAGTTGTGCAATTTGTAATTTTCCGATAAATGCAATAAACAAGGACCAACATTAATAACAACGGCAAAAATATGATAAATATTGTATTTCGTGCTATATTAAAATGTTGTATCTTCGACCATCACTAAGCACTAAGAACGCACGGCACGAATAAGCAGCACAAAGCGTAGAGCGCAATGAGCGGCAGCGGCGCCCGAACGGCCGTTCAACGGCAACAAAATTTTCGAGGCCGTCACCATCGACGAGATTGAGAGCGCTGTGCCCAGAGAGGGCAGGAGGAGGAGACGTTCGTGCGTGCATGTGTATGTGTCGGTGCGATGTGAATGTGTGTGTGTGTGAGTATATGTGTATGGAGCTTGGGTCGCGCTTGGTTCGTTTCATATCGGCGGCTGTGGTTGCCGTTGCTGCTGTGCCTGCCCAGCGCCAGAGCAATTACGTATAATTTTTGTGCTCGCCTCGCTTCCATGGAATTCGCCGCCATTGTAGCAGCGACGCTGGCGATTCTGGCTTCGGCTCCGCATGGCAGAGCTGCGGCTGCTGCCCAGTTCCAAGTCTCGATTAATATCAGCAGCAGAAGCAGCATCAGCCAGCAGCCAAGCCCAGCGAGCGTCCAGTCTATTTCCGTTTCGCTCTCATCTGGTCTGTCCGCCCCCTTGCCGCAACGCTGACTCTCTTGCACAGTCGCTCGCTCTCGCTCTCTCTCCTTCTCCGCTCATGCTTGCGCGCGCGCTCTGGTCGTGTCCTTCACTGGCTTCCATTTGTGACTCCTCGCTGGGCTCATGATATCCGGTGCAGGCACCTCTGGGGCAAAGCAGCCGCACAAAGGAGAAGCGAAAAATATATATACATATATATAAATATATATATAAATATATACACATATAAATATATCGTGCTCGAGTGAAGAGGGAAATGGGAATGAAAAGAAAGACGGCGCATGAAACTGCCTTTTGGATTTGTGGGCTTCGCTAGCGACGCTTTGTTGCCTGGTGCTCTCGGCTCGGTTATTGATTCTTTCAGGCAGACACAGAGCACAGAGCAGAGAACACACAGCTGAACCAGCAGGCAGCCCGACGAGCAACCAGCAACCAGCAAGCAGCTAGCAGGCAGGCAGGCAACCATTCAGGCAAACCCAGCACCAGAGTCGCCCTCGTCATCCACTTTTCGTTCAACACAAAATGGTTGCCCGCTGCTCAGCGACGACGACGATGACTCTCTGGACTGCGCCCCCGGCAACGACATCATCATCTACGTCGGCGTCGTCGTCGTCGTCGTTGTCGACACGTTGCTGCTGCGTGTGCTCGGTGCTTGGTGCTGGCACTAGGTTGCTCTTTGGTTTCGCTTTGGCTCGATTTCATGGTGAATACACCAGCAGCAGCAGCAGCTCAACCAATACATGCGCGCACTCACACACACACACACACTTTCAAATATTTCCACACAAGCGACCATTTGGTTGGCGTCATCGCTGTGCGGTTCGCTTGTTATCTGGAGGCGGACCACATGTACACACTCACACACACACACGCATACAGACGCACACGCACAAAGCACAGAGTAGAACAGCAGAGGGCAGGGCAGCTACAAACGTATGTACATATATGCGAGTGTATTTTTTTTTGTTTTTGTTTTTTTTTTTTTTTTTGGTCGCTCTGTTCAAGCAGATTAACCTGGGCATGGGAGTTGCAGTTGTTACCAGTTGTGTCTGCGTCCCGCATCGAATTTCGGATACACATCATCCATGCCCATGCAAGTCAAGTTCAGGTGGAAGCAAAACAAAAAACTTTCTCTGATCAGAAGCGTTCGGGTGAAAAGGTTGGCCTGGGTAGAGCCATGACCATTACTCTGAGTGGGAAACAGGGAGAGAGAGAGAGAGTGATATAGCACTGATAATATATTAAAAAAAAAAAATGAAGCCGTTGCCTTTCCATTCACCCATTTCAAGCATATTGCAAATCGATAGCCAGACAATTTATCGATGCATCTGTTAGTGACAAATGCACTTGACTAAAGTTTGTAATCGCCGTTGTTGTGGTTGTTGTTTTTGTTGTTGCTGTTCTTGTAATTGTTGTTATTCTGCTTCTGTGTAATTTAATACAGCAACAACAACAACCGGTAAAGATCTGCACACGGACTGCTAATGCTTAGGGTTACTTTTGTTGGAAAGGACACACACACACACACACACACTCTCGTACGCACGCACACATACTCAGCTGACAGCGAATAAGGGCACAAAGGCAAATACGGCAATGAAGCAAAATATAAACGACAACAAGAACCCAAAACTCGTTCAGCTCCGAAGATCATGCGGCGTTGCTTGCCAGGCTGTGCCCAAGCGGCGTTTTAATTCTGGGCACCATCTTCTCTCAGCTTGGTGTTGCCGTCATGGCGATGCAGCGCGCTGATGATGATGATTGTTGCACCTGGTGGTCAACAACATACAGCAGCAGCAGCAGCAGCTGGCAATTGTGGCAGCTGCTTCTGCATCTTGTTTGTATTGATGGATGAAAGATTTCCTTTTCAACTTTCTAAAAAGCCTGCTGCCTGGCTGCCAAAACGATTTGTGCCTTTTGGCTGATATGCAGTCCAAGCGGATTTCTTGCAATTAATTTCACAAATCAAAAGTCCCTTCACACAATATTTTTATATACATATTTACATATGTATGTAGGTATTTATATAATTCAACTAGCGTTAACGAATCTTTATACGTTTCGAAACCAGCTAGAAATACATACATACATATAAACTATAAATACCAAGAAAAGAATGCGTTATATGCATATGTATGTATTTACGAGTATATTTTTCAAATTAATGGCAATTGCTTTAACATCTGTTAGTGCGTGGCATTAAATACCGAAATAAATATCGTTTTATGTAACTAAATACCAAATGGGCTATGCAATTATCAAATTCGGGCGCAACTCTCTTCTTCGTCTTCCTGCCTTTTCTTTTCTTTCTTTTCCCGTGGTCTGCAATTGCTAAAATAGCGTTATTTTCGTATTTAATTCGAATTAACATTTGCCGCTGACAATAAAAGCCATCACAAACAACAAGAGTAATATTAATAATGTCTATTAAAGTCACCATCACCCCTTGGCCCCTCAGGGCAAAGACTTTTGGTGGTGTTCCTGCCTCGGTGGCACTTGAGAAAGAGATGTGCCCAACAGGATGTCGCTGTGCGGGCGGCTCGGTATGGGTATAGTATGTAACAAGGTGAATGAACAACATATTATCGAAACCCTTCAAATCCGATGTGTGGCGGGGGCGCTCCGGCGCTCGGCAGGACGAGGTTTGCAGGATTCAAGTGGGTACATAAGACATTTGTATATAAACGCGTATGTATATGCCTGCGTATTTATGCATGTATGTATAGAGACATATACATGTATGTATGTATGTATATTGAATTTACATACTACGCTCAACACGCACATACTCACCTCACGTATGCTGTGGAGTGTGGAAATGTGAGGAGCGGCATGGGCGCGAGTTCTGTTTGTTTTTACGCATTACAAAAACAAATGAAGATGCAAAAATAAGCAGTTACACAAATTTGTAAATATGCAAATGTGTGTGTGCAGTGCAGAAACAAAACATACATGTATATATATATGTATGTATGTACATATATTACAAACGCTGTCAAATGCATTTGCCGGCTTAACAGCAACCATCAACGATTATTTGCGCTTCTGTTTTGATTTTTATTTTCGTGATTTATTTAAATTTCACCTCTATGGCCACTTGTTATCGATACTTAAAAACACGATAGTTTACTGTTTGCAATATTTTCGCAACATAAAGTATCACATGTATTTGTACAATAATAAAATATGTATAAATATATATATGTCATAATAAAGTGAATAGAGCGATTTTGATTTAAAAACGCAATTATATTTTATCAAAAAATGTTTAGTAGAACAATATACAACAATTATTTTATATAACGGTTTCAGGCATTTATATCTATCGCGAATTAAAATCTACTTACTGTTATTCATAGGAGCAAATTACATACATATATAAATATATTACAATTATTTTAAAAATCTTGGTCTCCATGCCTCCTTTCTCAAGCACGAGCAATGTGTAGAAATATCAATATATATTTATAATTAAGTTGTATTACCCATCCACATACTTTTAATTGAAAAGCCAAAATGGTCCCATGCCACAGACAATTAAAAACATATTATGTGCACAACACAGCAGTAAGCTAGATGAGCAACAACAATACGATGTTTATATGCCTAATTTGAATCAGTCAAGTTATACATAGCGAAATACATAATACTGTATATACTCCCATACCACTGTTTACATGGCTGTATATATGTGTATGTCGATATCAATACATACGCACACACAAACACAAATCGCTAGCAGGCGAAAGGACATGGGACACTCATATGAAATGCAATCTTGTGTATGTGTGCATGTCTCATGTGTGTGTGTGTGTGTGTGTGTGTGTGCGTAGTGCGTATGTGGTCTGTAGCAATACTGAGTTTTGCATATAATTATATGCAGGTCATTGACATTAATAGACGTACTTAAAGGCATTGTAGGTTTACCGCTGCTTTAGCTACCGCTTGGAATGCTAGGGCCATGTACGAAGAAACTCCAAACCGTTTAAACCTAGACAAAGGTGTGAGTAAATTAATTTTAGGATGCGGGGCTGACAATGCCGATGACTTTGCATCCCCGATGCATTAGAATGTACAAAACTATGTGGGCTTATGCAAGTTTAAATCAAACTGAAAATACGCCAATTTAATGTAGATACTGAGATTTCTACTAATTATTTAGTGCAATTGGGCTAAGAGAATATTAGAATCAATTAATATTTCAAATTAATTACTTTTGGGAATGGTTGTGGTCACACTGACACTGAACAAATGAGCTAAAAATGACGGAATAATTACTTGCGTTAGCGATGAACAAATATGGAAATCATTTGAATTTTTTAAAAGTAACAGTAACGTTGATAGATTTAAAGTTATGCTAATTATATTTCTTAATACATCATTTTTGTTGTTAGACGAATGCATGCTAATGCAATTTATATCTATATATATTTTCAGATTACGCCATTGGATCGTCTGTCGCTTCATATTTGTCATGCCTGCATCAGCTATTTGAACTCCTGGCAGAGCTTTAAGAATCGCTGCCTCAGCTCACAGTCGAAGCAACGGCAGTGGCTGGACAGCGATAAAAGCAAGCAACAGACGCTACTGGGATATTTGGATTTGAACAAAACGGAGAATGGAAGCTCCATTGAACAACAGCAACAACAACAACAGCAGCAGCTCGAATCGAATATCGATTCGGCAACCATTGCAGCTGAAAAGGCATCCGCCAACATTTTGGATGGCATACCGTCGCTGAAGAAACGCAAATCGTTAACAGTTTATGTGAGTCCAAAGCAACAGCTACAACAGCAACAACAACAGCTACAACAGCAGCAGCAGCAGCAGCAACAGCAACAACAACAACAACAGCAGCAGCAGGTGCAGCATACAGCAAGAGCAACGAGCGCGGCGGCGGAATCACAGCAAACGCTGCAGACCCTTTTATTGCAGGTGCCCTCAGCGGCGGCAGCATTGGCAACGACGTCAACTCTGCAGCAGCAGCAGCAGCAGCAACAGCAACAGCGCAAATATCAACAACATCAGCAGCGTGTCAAGCAGCCTCATTACCACCAACAACATCCCCAACAAGCGCAGCATCATCAGCGCTTGAGTCGCATTCGTCAGCCGCGACGCCAGCAACAGGCGACAATGTCTGGCCAGCGATTGGTCAAATTTAAGCCGAAATTGTTTATGCCACTGGATATAGCGGTGCCACCGCTGCCACCACTGTTGCCGACACCGTCGCAGCAGCAGCCGACTGACACTGTTGCTGCTGGTGCTAAATTGGCGCCGTTGCCCTTGCCGTTGCCGCTGCCACTTGATTTTAGCCAGAATCCGAATCAGAATCCGAATACAAATGCGAGTCAGAGTCAGCAGAAACATGGCAGCGTGTTGCCGTTGCCAGTGCCAGTACCAGTAACAGTACCAGTGTCATTGCCGCCGTCGACGCCGCAGTTGCCACAGTTGCCGCCGCTGCCAGCTGCCACAATGACCAGCAACGCCGCTGCGCCGAGTGCTGTCTCTGCCGCAGTCACGACTCCTCTGCTTATGCCGGTGACGCTGCAGAGCGCTGCCCAGCAGCTGCGCTTTTTCAGGCGCTATTCCTATAATGTAATTGTATCGTGCATTCGCAAGCGTGTCCACAAGTCACATACACAACCAACTCCCTCAACCTCACCAGATGCATCAGCCAGTGCATATTTTCTGTTCGACAAATTGCAAAGAATTTTATATATTTATCTCTTTCTATATACATATATGTATAAATATATATATGTATATACATATACCTATATATTGAATTAGCATTCATTATCAACTTATCGCGTTTGCGCGTGTGTGTTTCGTTTACAGCCGCTGCCCGCCGTGCCGATCAAGGATGAGCCTATTGATGATACGGACGATGACTTTCAAATGAAGTGCATAGACGAATCCGATGATATGATGGATCCCACAATGTTCCTAGAGCGCTCCGAGCATGAGGGCGATGTGCCACTAATGGTAAACATTCAAGCATTAACATACTGAACCCTGAATTTAAATATTATAAATAAATATGAGTTTGAACAAGCAACGGTACAAGTGAAAAGGCAAAGCAAGCAAAAACGCACTAATTTAGGATTACTTAAAATACCAAGAGCAAGCAAAAAATCACAATTCATGGGATTTGGCGGAATTTACATAACTTTGCAACACTTAAAATTTATCCTTTTATTAATTTAAAATGCCTACAATAAAAATCGGATATTCATGTAAAGTTTTTTCTTTGCGCGTACATTCTGAACAGTTAGAAAATGAAGCAGTGAAAATATCAACTTTGTAACATTAGATATAGAAGCAATCAAAGTTATTCGATAATTGTCGATTAATATTAAAGAATGGGAATGGGAATGGGTCTGGACCCAATCTGGATTGGAGGCAATTAAAAGATAATTGAGATAGTCAATTAACTAATAGGCTCAAGAATTATTGTGCAATTTTGAACTCAATTTGTAATTGGAGTTGATGCCAGAAATGATTCACGCATGCAATAGCAATGGAAAATAAATAAATGATATGTATGTATGTCAGTTGGATAATCTCAATTTTCCATCTCTCTCTCTCTCTCTTTCTCTCGTTTTTTGCATAACAGACCTCCGACTATGATTACACGGCGCAACACGGCGTGACGGCGGTTGCGGCGGCGGCATCTCTGCCCGCCAGCGCGGTTGCAAACGTGGCCGCCGCCGGCGACTCGAAGGTGGCCAGCTGTCGGGCTTGCAGTCTGCAGTTCTCGACGCGCGCGAATGCCCGACGCCACGAACGTAATCTGCATCCGAATCTGTTTCAATTGTCTACAGATTCACCCAACAATACGCCCATCACAAAACCGACGCCGGCCCTGGCCGCCGCTCTGGAAATTCAGCGTGCCGCAGCGGCGGCAGCAGCCACCGCAGAGGCAACCAAAGCCGCCGCCGGCGGCAACATATCAGCGCAAAAGTATCGCCAGGTGGTAATGAATACATTCATCAAATGCGAAAACGGCGGCTTCGACTACGACAATCCAGAGCAGTATCAGCATCTGCTCACCCGCGACAAAGTGGATTTCATACAGGAGAACAACGAGTTTCTGGAGCAATACCAGACGATGACGTGTCGCTGCTGCAATAAGTACTTCAACACCTACAAGAACTTCATGGCGCACGTGCGCAAAAAGTATCCGCTGCTGCCGCGCAATCTCTGCTTCAACTGCCTCAAGATGAACGACTCGAAGGCGCTGTTCATATCGCATCTGAAGAAGCGCAACTGCATCAATCTGTATCGCGTGCTCAACGCGCTGCGCCTCAAGCAGCCGAACTTTTCGCATGCCAACGCATCTGGTGTGGCTGTCTCGGCGGCCGACTTGAGTGTTGGCCAAGCGGCAGCTGCTGCAGCTGCATCCGCTGGACACGAGACCTCATCGGAGCGGCCAGAGAAGCTGCGTGCCAAGGAGCTGCTGGTGAACAAGCTGTATGAGTGCAAACTCTGCCCGAAGGGCTTTCGCACCAAGCACGAGTTCCGCACCCATGTGTACGACAAGCATGCGGATGTGCAGCGCAAGGACAACAATTCGATACAGTGCACCTTCTGTGGATTGGACTTTGCCGATCCCGTGGACCGGCGTCGCCACTACAACAACATGGAGTGCATTGTGCGGCTGCGCTGCATGACCTGTGATGCCAAGCTGGAGACGCATCAGCGGTTCCTCGACCACGTCTACCAGGACCATCTGGGCGGTGTGAGCAGCGATAATGCCTCAACGGCCAACAGTGGCGGCATGGATCATTCCCCGGGCAAACGCAGCCTGCTGGGCGCCTTGGGCATTGGCATAAGTCAATCATCGAATGATGAGTCACGTAGCAGCACCCACAACAACAACAATGCCGCGGAAGCGGCCTTCACCTCGACCCCGAAGCCATCTGGAGGAGCGGCAGGCGGCACCGGCGGCACAGCAGCAGCAGTAAGTGGCGGCGGCTCCACATCCGGCAGTCGTGATGCACCCAAATCGCAGTATTTCTCCCGCATGCCACAGGTGTGCCCGATCTGTGGGCAACAGTACAACAACTACAACAACGTGCTGCGCCACATGGAATCGAAGCATCCCAATAAGCTGCCCGAAACGTACAAGTGTGTGCGCTGCGGCCTGGGCTATCCCCGTATCTCCTATCTGCGCGAGCACATGATCAATGTGCATGGCGTGGACAAGAATCGTCATTCGGGCGGCTTCGAGTACATTGTGAATGCGGATGCAGTCAAGCTGGCGGATGGCAGCATGCCCAACGTCTACACGGGCCGTTATGATTATGTGATGAAGGATCTGATGTCAATAACAAATGGTGGGACACTCGGTAATTTTTTGTTTGGCGACCCCCCCATCACATCCATCAACCCAGTCTGTGAAGTCCTGTGTGCCAATGTCCTACTCATCCAGCAACATGCTTTCTGCTGAATATATGCACACATATATATATGGGCAATATCTACATAATAGGAAAGATTCAGTGGAATATCAGAGAAATTGCTTCAATTGAAATGCGAGCATGTTTAGATTTAACGCGCCGTTCTATGCGATTCGCATCAATTTGGAATTTCAAGTAAATTAAAGTTTAGACTTGTTCAGAGTTGCGCCTGCCGCTCTATGCAATTCTCATAGTTATATGATGTTTAGACATATTCAATTGTGTGCATAGCTAGGCGCGCCTTTCCATGCGATTCTCATATAAAATGACTATTGTTCAGATATTACTTGTTTATATATGTGTGTGTATATATAGGCCTATATGTAAGCTGGGGCGATTGTTGAAGCCATATTTAAAATCTTGTCCTAATGATCCTCTCTCTCTCTCTCTCTCTCTCTCCGCCACTCTTGACAGATGAGGATGAGGAGGAAAGCGGCAGCGTTGCCAAAAAGATGCGACTGGATGACAGCAGCAACAACAGCAGCATCAACATGAGCATTGCCAACCAGCAGAAGGAGTGCCTCATCTGCAATGCGGTGTTCAGCAACAACATTGGCCTATCGAATCACATGCGCTCGCATTATACGGCCGCAACGGCAACGAATGCGGCGCTGGCGGCTGCCAATCGCATGACGCCCAAATCTTTGACAATTACCGCAACGCCGCCATTGGACACGACGGCGGCAACGTCGACGAGCGCTGCAGCTGGAGCCGGAGGGGGAGGAACGGCAGCGACAAGTGCAGCTGGAGCCGGCAGTGGAGCTGGTGGAGGATCAACAACAGCCAGTGGACTACCGCCAGCCATGGTGCATCAGACGCCACAGGAGCAGGCCGTGTTCCGGCGCAGTCTGGACCAGGCGGCGGATCGTCGCTTTCGGCGCATGCGTTGCCGCATCTGCCAGCGGCGATTCAGCTCGAAGAAATCGTATCGCTATCACATGCTCACCGACCATCAGGTGCAGAACGTGCAGTTCATCAAGTGCAAGCTCTGCAATGCGGAGTTCGCCTACGAGAAGGGCCTGAAGGTGCATCTGTTCAAGGTGCACGGGCGGGCCATCAAGGACGAGATGATTGTGAAGCAGTTCGAGTGCGACATCTGCTCCATTGTCTACAGCTCGGAGCTGGAGCTGCAGCAGCACAAGCGCAGCGTGCACAAGTCTCACGATGCTGCCTCCAAATCATCGGCAACCAAATCATCAACCGCTACCTCAGCTGCTGAACTGGCGGACACATCGGGCACGGGCGGTGGCGGGGCCGGAGCGGGCGCCGCCCTGCCGCTCTACTGGTACCAGTGCAAGTACTGCCCCTCCAACTTCAACACCAACAAGAAGCTAGCCATCCACATCAATTCGCACGACGAGTTTGATTCCAATGATTATTCGTGCAAGGATTGCGGCAATGTCTACAGCGGACGCAAGAGCCTCTGGGTGAGTGTGGCCATTCCAAGCTGTGGATTGCTAGATTGGACTAGACAACTGCTATATATAAATATATGTATGTATATTCCATAGGTGCATCGCTATAAGAAGCATCCGCAGGTGCCAGATCCAGTGGAGTGCACGCTCTGCCGCAAGATGTTCTTTGATCGACAGATGCTGGAGAATCACACGCCCACCTGCAACCGGAAGCCCATCACTGCCACCGGCGCCCATCAGCAGGACCAGCAGCAGCACCAACAGCAGCAGCAGCAGCTGCAACAGCAACGCGCTATATTCAAGCACAAGACGGGCGACGATGACGATGAGGAGGAGGACGATCAGCTGATGCTGGTGGACGATGGTGGCGTGGGCAGCGACAGCAACGGTGCGGCGGCCACCAGCGGCACAAGCAGCAACAATCCAAATGCGATAAGCGCGAGCACAATGAAGATACGCATACCGGAGGTGGCGTGCACCATTTGTGGGGCACGCTTCACCGACCAGGAGATGTTCACCAAGCACATACAGAAGCACGAACAGGATCTGTATGTGGACAATCCGCTGGCGGCCATGTTCGACGATGGCCCCGCCGATGTTGGCCAATTCAAGGTGGAGCGCCAGAACGAGAATGGGGAATACGCGTGCGATTTGTGCGCCAAGACGTTCCCCCAGGTGATTGCGCTCAAGGTGCATCGCAAGTGGCATTTCAGAGGTGATAGCAAGCAGGTGAGCTTTTTGGGCTTGTGCAGCGAGGTGAAATCTGTGTGGATGGATCCCACGATTCCGTGTGCGGATCCATTCGTGTGCGTCAAATTAATAACGTTTGTTCTTTGTTGCCTCCGCACCAGTCGCAAAAAATAAACAACAACTAATAAAAAAAACTCAAATAGAATTAGGGAAAAAAAAAAACACACACACAATTTAATAGAACCCGTTTCGAGTGGTGCAGTCTTACTAATTCCCTTTAAATTTGTACATTTAGAATCTCATCATCGACGGCGAAGCGACAACGCTGAACAACAGCAGCAGCAACAACAACAACAACAACAATTCGCTGAGCTCCTCATCGATGCTACGCGAACTGCATGCAGTGGGCCTGATGCCCAACCAGCAACAACACCAGAAGCAACAGCAGCAACAACAACAACAACAGCAGCAGCAACAGCAGCGGAACAACACGTCGAGCAGCTCGAGCAAGTCGCTGAAGCGGAAACGTGAACTGAAATGCGAATACTGCGCCTCCACATTCATTAGCAACAACAACCTGCGTCGCCACATGTACGAGCTGCACAAGCACGAGGTCAGCAATCTGCCGGAGCCGCCGGTCATTGAGGTGGACGAGCCGCTGACGTGCCGGCGCTGCGGCGATATACGCTTCGATACCAAAGAGCAGTGGATCGAGCATAAGCTGGCGGACGCCAAAGTGGTGCGTCCCTTCTGTCCATTCCAATGGGGCTGTGATCTGTGCGGCGAGTACCTGTCGCGCAAGGAGAAGCTCATCAATCATATTAACAATCATCTCAAAGAGGATGTGATAGTGCCGGTGGCGACAGCAGCCAGTAAGGCGCCCGTGCTGCCCAACAAGGCAAAGACGGCAGCTGGAACAGCTGCAGCAACAGCAACAACAACGGCTGCAAAGGGCATAGTGCGAGCGGCGGCAGGAGCTGGCGGCAGGGTGAATAAGGGTAAACAACTGGAGGAGCAGCTGACAATGAAGGTGGCAACGAAGCAACAGCAGCAGCAGCAGCAGGAGGAGCAGCAGCAACAGCAGGCATCAAATGATGATCATGCTGAGGAGGATGATGATGAGGGGGAGGAGGAGGATGGCAGTGATATGGATGAGGATGATGACGATGAGAGCGATAGTGGCGAAGGGGAGAGCACGAGTGCTGATGATGATGATGAGGATGATGATGACGATGAGGGCGATGTTGACGATGAGGATGATGATGACGAAGAAGATGTGGATGGCGATGTTGTCGAACAGCAATTGCTGCAACAAAAACAACAACAGCAGCAGCAGCAACAACAGCAACAACAACAACAGCAGCAACAACAACAACAACAGCAGCAGCAACAACAAAACCTCAACAGCAACAGCAATAGCGTCGCTGCCCACGATGATGACGACGATCTCATTGAGGAAGTCATCGAGGAAGATGGCATTGTCGAGGAGCTGGACGACGATGAGGACGATGACGATGGCAACACAACCGACGAGCACCAGCACCAGCAGCTGGCAGCCAATGCCAATGCCAATGCCAATGCCAATAGCAAGCAGCAGCAGCAGCAGCAGCCGAGACGCCTCAACTTTGACTACTCGCGCTCGGACAGCGCCAAGCTGAACGGGAATGGCAAACAGACGCCGCAGCAGCTCGCCGCGGCCAAGTCGAAGGCGGGGCAGTCGGCGGTGCTGGTAATGCATAGCTCTGAGGAGGATGAGGAGGATGATGACGAGGAGGGTGTGGAGGGTGAAGCGATGAACATTGATGATATTATTGAGGAAGATGATGGGGAGGATGAGGACGACGATGTGGTTGGTGTCGATGGTGGTGTTGTTGAGGATGACGATGATGATGATGATGATGATGATGACGATGACGATGACGATGATGATGTTGAAGAAGATATGGATGAGGACGACGATGATGTGGAGGATGACGACGACGATGTCGATGACGACGTCAATGGCGTCAATATGCGCAACAACAATCGTCGTCGTGACGGTGCTGTGATGGTCAGCGGCATCAGCATTGGCGACGGTGAGGCTGATGATGATGGTGTTGCTGATGCTGATGCTGATGTGGATGGTGATGTGGATGGTGATGATGATGGTGATGTGGATGGTGATGCTACATCATCATCGGGGAGCGAGTCAACAGCAACATCGCATTCAATTGGTGAGCGGCGTAAAAAATCAGTAGTTAAATCAGCGGCACATGGCGCTGCCGCTGATCAGTCTAATTCCAGCTATACGTGTGATCTATGTCAACTTTGTTTCGATTCTCAGGAGCAACTGCAGTCACATATTAAAAGCCATTTTCTGAATGGGCCCTCGGCGGGTGGCAGCGGCAGCAACAGCAGCAACAGCAGGAGAATCGGTGCCGGCGCTGGTAGCAGCAGCAACAGCAGCAGCAGCAGCAGCAACAGCGGCAACAGGACCAATAGCAACAACAACAATAATAATAATAACAACAACAACAATAACAATAATAACAATACCAATAATAATAATAACAGCAAAAGTAAAACCAAAAAGTCCGGCTTGGATGCAACGAAAGGTGACAGTGCCGCTGGTGCTGCTGCAGCAGCAACAACAACAACTGCTCCAACAGTAACAACCACAGCAGCAACAACAAGATCAACAACAGCAACTGTTGCCGCTGCTGCAGCTGCAGCTGCAGCAACAGCTGCGGCTGATGCAGCAAACAGCTTGAACTGAGCTTGCAAACACGAAAATGTACAAAAAGCAAAACACAACAAAATCAATCCACACATCGCACACATCCGCAACGCATTCCATTGTCAAGCGCACACACACACACACGCATACACGCACACCCACATCCCCGCGCCCAAGCACAACTACATGCATACACATACACACGCGCGCGCGCCCACACACAGTCATGCATATGTACAAAAGGAGAACTGTGTGCATGTGTGTGTGTGTGTGTGTATGTGTGGTAAACACGACAAACTTTTTTTTTCTTGTAGTTGATATAAATCATATTGCCTGCTGAATTCAAACACACACACACACACACATGCAGACAAATTAAGCTTACATATTTGATATGATACGATAGTACATACTTACATATATCCACATTATATATATATATATACATATAACTTTTTTTTTACATGTTAAATTAGTTGGTATCGCAGACAACAAACAGGCGCTAAAACGCGTCGCCAGTTTTGAGTTTTAGTTAGTTAAGCGAGATATATATATATATATACAAATATATATCGTAACTATATATAAACGTACGTACATAAGTCTTTAGAGAATGAATAAAAATACTTAAGCGGTTAATGAGAAGTTAGAAATTGTCTGGCGAGAAACAACAACGACGACGATGACGACGCACCAAAGCAAACACGATACAAAATTAAATTAAATTAAGAAAAAAGTGAGCTAAACAAAATGAAATAAGATTACAAAAGCTAACATTAAATTTAGTTGTAGAAACTTGGTTCATTTTATATGATATGAATTTCGGATTTTTAAAATTTTTGTTTTTGTTTTAAATTTCTGCATTTTGCCTATCGTTGGGTTTGAGAAACCACAGTTTGAAAAATCTTTTTAAAATTGAAAGGCATTTCGAATTAAAAAAAAAAAAACAATTCACTTTTACGTCTTGCTTGAAATTTTCTTGACAGTAAATTTTCTTTATATTCTATACATATATATTTATATTATCGTCTTTTTGTAATCTTCGGCAAACTCTTTGGACTCGCATAGTTTAAGCTAAGCACATTTAATTTCAATTTCAGTAACGGATTGACATATATATATATATATGTATATGTATACATATATATATCAGTTTTCTATTTTAATTTTATGTACTTTATCTTGATTTGGCTATGTGAAATTTAAAGTTGAGATGAACGCATTTTATAATATGAAAAGTAAGTTTGTTTGCCATAAAAACACACACACAGAAACACGCCACGCACACACATACACACAGCATTAGCACTTCTCCCGCCCCCCAATTCATAAAACATTTAGTATGTAATGTGTATATTCATTATTTATATTTAATGATGCATTTTACAAAGAATTCGTTCTCATGCTTCATTATTCAAATCATATACATATGTACGTCGTATAGAGGAAAACAGAAAAAAAAGGAAAAACAAAAAGGAAGAAAGTAGAAGAGGAAAAAAGTGAAGATAAATAGTGCATACTGCATATGTTAATTACGCTTACGATATAATTAAATAATTATTGCGATTTGCAAAACATACCTTTTACTTGTAAAACTAATTTAAGGTTTATGTATGTAATTGGAAAAACTAGTTTAAAAGCCCAGATTACACATTTAAATAAAAAGACAACATGAATGAAAGAAATGTATGCATTTTTTAATTTGAATTTCCAACGTATAAAAAGCCTTGCAGCGCGCCAAGTTTCGATGACAGTGGAATTTATCGATTTCCAACACTGCTGAAAGAATTTCCCCACGTTCGCTGATATTCGAAAAAGTAATGAAAGAAACTTCTTTGTTTGCACACTTTTAATAAAATATCAATGCACATTACATTTAAAATATATATATATACTTGAATGGTGCCAGCTTAAAATGGTTGCCATACAAAACACATTTGATAATGCCAATAGCTAAATGACGGCATAGGCACTCATAGTCTAAGGTTGAATTCTTTTGTTTTTTGTTTGTTGTTTAGTTTACTTTTTGGTTTTTGTTAACATTTCTTTCTAGGGAATTTTAGCTATGTATTTGGTCTTGATGGGTCAATAGTATATAGAATTTAAGAACGCATAATTAGACGAATCATTAACAAACGTTACATGTAATTAAAAGTGCAAAACATAGTAAACATTACAATATGGTAACGAAAAATACAAAAAAAAAAAAACAGGGTATAAAAAAAAACAAACACAGCCAACGATGCCGTTCAGTGTTATACATATGTAAATACTAATAGAAACTAATTGTGTATTCTGTTGCAAAAAACATTCATAAATTATTACGCTTAAAGAAGATACTATAGCTATGTAAATATATATGGTGCACAGGCGCAAGAGGAGCTCCGCCACAAAATACTATGATAAGCGAATTCCATGCCTTTACGAGTACTGCGTGTGCGGATTGACGCTGATCATCTCCATGTTGCTGCTATATATAGGTTAATGTATGTGTATAGAAGAAAGAAATAGTTGATTAGTTATATTTTTAAATGCAAAGTTTATAATCATTTAATTGGCGCTGATAAGCCGATGGTAAATGGAAATACTTATCGCGCACCAAATGCTCAGTAAATTCGACAGCCATTTAGATATTTTTGCTTTGATGGAGCTTGAGGCACTTGAGCTTCAAATGAAGTCAAAGCTGTATGATGAAGGCAAGGAAATGGAACGTATGTATGCATGTATGTATGTATTTAGTTAGTGTATTGATAATGGTTAGTGAGATTTCAGAGGTTCGCCCGGTTAGAGAGATAAAGAGATGATGGCAACGGAAATCGCAGTGCCAAACTTACCTACGACTGCACCGCATATGGATGAGGAGCAGCACCAGTCCAAGTACCACACAAATGGCACCCACAACAATATAGGCAATGCCTAAGAATGGATTTTTACCGCCAAGTACAGAGGTCGTCGATAGAATCATACGCTTGGTGCCACCAAACGATACGACGGGATAGTCTGAAATCACAATATACAGTATAAAATATATATAGAGTATATAATAAATGTTTTAAATGCCACTTACTGTACTTAATTTTTAGCGTATACTCGCCAGCTTTCAGCCCCTTTGAGTAGCTGTTGTTTGTTTGGTCCAGGCGGCGGTAGAGCTTACGAAAACTGGGCAAGGCAGCCGTGCGCATCCATACGATTAGATCCTCATTTTGGAAACCATTGTTGTCCGGATTACCCGGGTCCAATTCGTTGACAGGTTGCTTCCAGAAGATAGGCGGCGAAAAGGGTTTTAGTGCTTCCGTAAGGTTTCCGGGCGGATTACGGAATTTCACACGTTTATCTGATGGCCATGCAATGCCCGTATTTAATAATTTAATTTCTGTGCTGCCCTGACTCAATGTCAACGTGTCTGCAAAAAAAATAGTGACACGATTTGAATTTGAGAATAACAATTTTGAAATTGTTACCAATTACCATTAAAGAGGGAATTGGCAATGGCTCCGCATGGCGCAATCGGTTTGCCATCGTCCGCATAGGCAAACGGTGTGCAGTCCGAACTGGGGGTCAGGGACAGGTGGCCCAACAGCTGCTCATCATCGCGTGATTTCACATAGCGTCGATGGTTCTGATAGTAATTAGTTAGGCCATAATACATGTAAACGTTGCCCTATTCGAATTACAAGAGAAAAACTATTTAGAATAATTTATACAGGTGAATTGAATTTGGATACTTGCAATGAAATCTTCCGTTAGATTGAAGGGTATCTCGCACAGGCACTGGCCGGCAGTTGTGCTCTCTAGAAAGTCGGCGCAGGTCTTATCCGAGCCCACCTGCATGCACCTGGTGTAGTCAATGATGAGCTCATTGGCTGAGTTGGAAAAGTGCAGCAGCACCACGCCAATGGGCACGAATAGAACACCAATGATAAAGAAGGTGGGTAGAACAGTTCGTGCGGTCAGCACTGGCTGCCAGGCGGGCAGGCGTTGTTGTTTGAAAGCTGAATCTGTAAAATAAACATTTAACGTATTTAATGGGTGTGATTCATGTTTGCAGGTGGAATGAGGATGGCTGTGGAAGGCTCGCCTTTAAATATCGATCACACTTTCAATAAGCACTCGTTTGGTTTTCAGTATTAGTCACTCTTTTGAGTTTCCTTATCACAAACACACGCACGCACGCACTCACGGGCATAATGCTAAGGTAGGTAGGTAGGGCTCAAGGTGCTCCAGTACCAACAGCAAAACCAACAACAACTTGTTACTTGAGTGTGAGTGTATTGTGTATTTATTGTGTATGTCTATTCAATTTTCACCTGAAGGTCGTTTTGACTTTGTGGCTGCATTTTCCTCATTTCCCACATTTTGCGTTGACATGGTGTCTTCTACACAGTGCTAGCGACCACCGATGCGTCAATATTTTAGGATTACGAACTTGAAACTAAACCACTCGTCGCAAATTCGTTCACCCAAATACGTAAATAATACAATAAATTTCGCGTTTTAGTGCTGCTTATCGATATACCTATATCGATAAGAAAAACAAAATAAATATTACTGCAATGTACCGCGCATGTTAACACTGGCATATTAATAATAATTAATTTAAAAACTTTTATACACATGATTCAAGTCTCTTATCCAAAGGAAATGAATTATTAAAATAATCTCTTTACTACCCTCAAAAAATTTTATGAATAACTAAATTACTGAATTCGACTTAAGTATTGGTTCATCGGCTGGTAGTGCTTATGAGAAAAGTTGGCTATGGAAAATATGCCAATTTATATTTTTAATCAATTTATCAGAAATGTTTGTAGCTAGCTACATTTATTAAAATATTTTGATAAATATTTTTTTTTTTTTTTGCCAAATTAAATGATGTGCTCGTTTCCTGGCAATCGGTGTACTTTCCAGCACTGATAATAACATCGCGTGCATTGATATATCGGAATCGTTGGTGTATATGAACTTATTCCCATACCTAGCGGCAGCGGCGTTTTCGTTGAGTCAAAACAACAAAGCATAGGCAACAAAAACGAACCAACGAATAAGAGGAAAAGAAACGACGACGACGAAGAACGTAAATTCACGCATTTATTAATTTTCGCTGTACTAATACGCATATGCGGCAATCAGAGCACACACCAATTGTTCAGGGATTATTAGTACATATATACTGTGTTCAACAAACATTGTGGTTTTATAAACAACAGCAGTGAAACGCCGACACCGCGATGAAAATCACCGTCACCACCACCGATGATAAGCTCTTCTTTCTAGATGTTGCCACAGATTTAGAGCTAGAAAATCTGAAGGCACTCTGCGCCATGGAAGTTGGCGCTGAAGTTAGTCAAATTATGGTGATTTTCAATGGCCGCGAGCTGACCAACGACAAGCAAACGTTACAGCAATTTGGAGTGCGCGACGGTGACTGCATTATGCTGCAGCGCCGCAGAAGCAATGCCAATCGTACAGGTGAGTTAAAATTATCAACCCTAAACTCCAATTCTCTCTGACTAATAAGATGCGCGCGTTGTGTTAAAATACTTAACTGTGTCATTGTACGCACTCTAGGCCGCTGCTCCTGGTCAGCGCTGCATTATCAAAATCTATGTGGGAGTGTATATGTGGGCATGTTTGCATGTGTGTATATGAATTGTTTTTGGAATATACGAATCTTTCATTTAAAAATAAATGTATATTGTCTTGAAACATTACTCAGGTTATACTATGTAAACGTATTGTGTTGAGCTTTTTTGCACATTCCAAAATTAAAAGTCAAGAAATTGCAAACACAGCAAAGCGAATTCCACCCAAATACACATACGTACATATGTATGTATATACCCTCATACACAGACACGCCTGGACATGGATGCGCATATGTGAATGTAAACGTTGATCTGATTTTGATAATACACTTGCAGCGCTATTATCGATATATGTAAATTTAAACATAGATAATCGAATGCATACACGCGCACACACACTCATATATCCAGCTGCAGACATTTCGCATGACCCCATGCGCGTTTGGCCTTGTCTAACATATGCATAAGTGTGTATGTATGCATGTTTATGTGTACATTGTCCGAATGCTTCAGTTTTTTTTTTTTTCTTTTTGTTCTTTGTATGCGCGTGGGCGCGCGCAATTTGCAATCTTTTTTGAATTGTCTGTTGCGCCTTAATTTTTTCCTAAGCTTTTTTTTTTTTTGTTGCTTGCACCTGGAATGTGAGCGTTTTTTGCATGATCAGATATGTACATATATGTATGTATCTACGCATGTTTACATACATACATATATCGTTTTTTTTTTTATATAAAATAGGTCGTACAAACTTTTTGTTTATTAAAACACTTGCAATTTGATTTGATTGGAGAAATCTATTTATGTGTTTAAGTCAAGAAAATAATTGTAAAAAAAATTGAAAGTTATTCATATATAATATGTGAAAATTGTATGGTATGTAAGAATGTATCGGTCAGAGCAACTGTTAAGCTATAATAGAAAAAACTCATCATTTGTAGATTTATATTTATGAAAATTCTGATATATGGATCTTCTTTTTTTTTCAGTTTCCAACAATCCGTCGATTAGCCATTTGGATTTCAGCAGCATTGCTGTGCCCGGGACGAGTGCAATAGGTGGCAGTCCACCCTCACATAGCGCTGGGGCAGCAGGGAGCACGCTCACTATGCAGCAGCAATTGCAACAGCATTTGGAGCGGCAGCAGCAGCATCTCGGCGACGTGCCCATGACAGATGATTTCAATGTTAACTTTGACGACGATCCGGCGACAGTGCGTCAAATGTTTCTATCCAGCCCAGAGACGCTGGCCTTGCTCCGCCAATATAATACGCGGCTGGCCGAGGCTCTGGACTCTGGTGATCCAGAGACATTTGCGAGAGTGCTGCGCGAGCATATTGTGGAGCGGAAGCGTCGCAACGAGCAACGCATGCGGATGCTCAACTCGGATCCGTTCGACGAGGAGACACAGCGGCTGATTGCCGAGGAGATCAAGCAGAAGAATATCCAAGATAATATGGCCGCCGCCATCGAATACAATCCGGAAATTTTCGGCACAGTCACAATGCTGTGAGTCCCATTTTGGACATAAGTATTATATAAGTATATTGTCATATTTATGTTCCTTGTTTTATTCTAGGTACATCAACTGCAAGGTGAACGGCGTGCCGGTGAAGGCCTTCGTTGACTCTGGCGCACAGACCACAATCATGAGCAAGGACTGCGCGGAGCGTTGTCATGTGAATCGTCTGATCGATACGCGCTGGAATGGCGTTGCCAAGGGCGTGGGCACACAGCCCATTCTGGGTCGCATCCACATGGTGCAGCTGCAGATTGAGAATGATCATTTGACGTCCAGCTTTACGGTGTTGGGTCAACAGCCCATGGACATGCTATTGGGCCTGGACATGCTCAAGCGCCATCAGGTGCGTCATGCTGCTCTCTTCTCTATTGTATATAGTATATATGTCTATCTCTCTCGTTTTGATTACAGTGCCTTATCGACTTGCAACGCAACCTTTTGATCATTGGCACCACGGGCACAAGCACCCCGTTCTTGCCCGAAAGCGAGCTGCCCGCTTGCGCCCGCCTCACTGGCCACGGGGAGGAGAGCGAGCAACAGGCCATCGCCAAGGCCATTGAGCAGAGCAAGCGCGAGGGGGGCGGCGCCAGTGCCATTGCTTCTACTGCCACAACCAGCGCCAGCGGCAGCGGCGCCACTTTTGATATAAGCAATATTAACTCAATACAACCATTGGATAGCTTTACGGAACAGGATGTTAGCGAATTGATGCAATTGGGGTATCCGCGCGGCGATGTGCTCACTGTGCTGCGTCTGTGCAACGGCAACAAGGCCGTTGCCAGCTCAATGCTGCTCAGCCGCAATGCAGCCGCTGGCGGCGGTGGTCTTAGCTGAACGTTGGCTGCATGGCGCCAGCAACTGCTCCTATTTTACTGCTCTGGGATCAATCAAAGGAAATCTGCAATACGGGAACCACCAACGCCACCACCACCACCACCAACGCCACCACCACCACTACCACCACCACTACAACTATCACTTCGCACTCAATCCGATATAACCTAACATCTTTCCCCTACTTGAATTTAGATCTAATTTTTTCAAATTTAAATCCATTTTACAAACTCTTTGTATCTCTTTAGCTAATTATTGTAGTAGTCGAGTCGAACCGCAATGATTTATTTCTTATCAAAAGGGAATAGCGCTTGCAACGAACATCTTTTTGAAACATAATGCAAACTATGCCTACAAATAGATTACATATACATAATATTATATATACATATATACAGTCACTTAAGACACACACATGCACACCTTTTACATATATAGGTACATATAATAATATATGTATATATTCATATATTTGAGCTAGTGTTTATAATCAAATAATGTACGATGGAGACGGAATGGTTAAATAAAAATTAATTGTTTTTGGATTGGAATAAATAAATAAATATAAATCGAATATGGGCCACAGTGATTACATGCTAAATGTAACTTTTTTTTTTTTTAATACGCATGGGAAGTCGTCTATGAAAAGTTTTAATGTGCGAGTGAAGACTGTGGCTACAGCGAGATGACTCATGTTTCATGTGGATACTACAGTTGATTGATGAGGTCATTACTTTTAATAATGTGGTTAGGATACAGCGAATAAGTTATCCTTATCCCCCTTATGAGTGTATTATTTTACCAGATTTGCTTGGGATGCAATGAATCTGTTATCCTTATCCCCATTAAGAAGTAATTAATTTAATCGATGAGCTATCTTTATTCTTATCCCCCAGATGAGATCATTTGCTTGGGATACAATGAATCCGTTATCCGTTATCCTTATCCATATACCTATGCCATAACTCTGTAGCACTTTCATTCAGCTCATTTTTTTGTTTGGTTGTTGGACAATTTGTTTTCAATTTTATTTATTTATAAATGTATAAACCATAGGCATGTACAGACATACATATAGAGGCTCTAGTTAGCAGTCTCTGTCGCGCCAGCGATGCATTGTTAAATGGAATCGGTCATTGGCGCACAATTGTGTTGCAATGATTATGCCACCAGCTTCGGTAGTTTGTGTACTATTGTTTTGTTTTTGTTTAAGGTGTATATGTTTACAGACATACACACACACACTCACACACTCACGCACGCACGCACGCACGCAGGATATAAATATATTATACATATATGTGTATAATGTACATTATAATTTATTAATTGTTCTGTTTTTTTTTTCTATCTTTTCATCTTTCAATGCTGGGTGTTGTTGCTTCAGGTCGAATTGGTTGCTTTCTAGAAATGTTTTTCATTTACTCTTCGTCTTCATCGTCATCTTCGTCGCCCTCGTTGGTGCGCGCGGCCGAGTTTTTGTGATTGAACTCCTTTTCGGGATCGAACTGCATGCCCTCCTGATCGGCAGCATCCTCCTCGTCATCATCGCCAGCGACTTGGGCATTCTCAGCCTCGGCACGCTCCAGGCGACGCGCCAGATCGGCCTCATCAATGGCCGTAACCAGTTTAGGCGCCATAATCACCTTAAACTCGCCCTCATACTCAATGATCTTGGCGCGTATGCTCTCGATGGCCACCTCCAGGGCTTTGAGTCCGTCTGTTTTCTTTGTGGTGGATGTGGTCATTACATAGCTATGGAGCGTATATGGGATAGTAATTAGTGTCAGCAATATTGCTTGGATCAGAGACGACTTACAGCGGCGGCGCTATGAGATTGATGCGGATGGGCAGCTCCTCTGTGCTCAGCTCCAGGCCTTTGCTGAGCGATGCCTTGACTGCATCGATGCCCTCGTAGCCGTAGCAAGAGCACTCAATGTCTGCGCGTATTTTGACTGTGGGCGAGACGAGTTTGCGTTTTATGTTGCTCAGTAGCACCTCCTTGGTCTCTGCGTCCAGATTGCATTCATCAAAGACAGATGGATCGGTAACCGATTGCTTGAAGATGTCATATGCGACCGTTTTGCTGTTGTATTTCTTTTCAAAATACCAGGCGGTCTTCTGATACAGTTCCTCGAGCTTGTCGCTGCTATCATAGCCCAAAATGTCAGCCACATGACGCAACAGTGAGTTGATTGCCTTTGCTTTTGCAAATCTCTCAGTACATTTCTCCACATCTTCCGGTGAAACGCGACGCTTGGATAGATCAATGTAGCCCTTCTCCTTATCCACACGAATGACGACGACCGGCTCTGTTTTGCCGACACGTATCAATTTGTTAATGGAACGAATACGACGACGAGACAGCTCCGACAGCAAGATCATGCCCTCAATGTTGTTGTACTCCAGCAAATGAACGTATGCGCCCATTTCGGCGATTGAGAGCACGTTCACCATGACGACATCTTCAATCTCCGGATATTTTTCGTTGTAGAAACGTGACGTTAATGCCATTTTTACTGCGTTTGAGTGCGAATTTTATTCAGATTGATTATATGCGCAAACCGAAGAGAAAATGCCAACAGAATTGCAGCAAAAACGTGTACAATTCGGCCGAAACAAGGCGTAAGAAGAAGCGTGCGAGCGGCAACAGTGCTGGATAATGGCGAATAGGGCGAGTTTCTAGCGGCGAATTTGCATCGATATATCGATAGAAATTGCAGCTTTCATCTGTCAATCTGACAATCCGGGATAAATATCTTACTTGTATTAGTAGAACCACTTGAAATATTAAACTTTTTTATATAATTAATATTATAATGAATTTGGGCAATGTTAAGACAATTTAATGATGTTGTTTTTCTGCAGTATTAAGTGTTGAAAAATGCAGATGGTACATTCGGCGAATTGGCAAGTGTTGCTTATAAATACACCCGGGTGTTATTTGAAGCCGCAAGAATTGTCCTTCATTGTGGAGCCTTAAAAAAGTGCACCCATTTTTGTATAATATATTGAAGAAGCTCTATAAAGATGATAATAGTTTCAACTAGTGGGTGTTTTCCATAGCGCCTCCACCATCAGGTGTGTACACACTGGAGCGCGTGCACACGGCGACAATCTTGGTAGTCAGTCTGCGGATTGCAGCGAATTCGCTCATTTGAAAAAAATAAAACATGGCTGGAAGAGGTGGTTATGAACACGCTAGGTAAATATTATTAAATAATTAAAGAACTGTGCTAGTCCGCACGCCGAAATTGTGTTTAATTGGTGCAAGTGCGTTCGTAGTGTGTGCCCCAGCGAGTGCAAATGTGCTACAATGTATAATAATGCACGCGGTTTAAGCAAAAGTCAAGCAACACGCACACACGCAAAACACAAACACACTCACGCACACACAAACCCTAAAAATGTATATGCATATGTACATACGTGCGGCGGGTGTGTGTGTGTTTGTGCGCAAGTGTGTGTGTTTTTTTTTTCTTCTACATTTCTTTTTCTTTGCTATTTTTTTTTCGGGCAATTTGCTGCGCTGTCGCCCGTTGGCCGACGTCGCTGTCGACGTCGACGCCGGCGGTACGATTTGCCTTTGGCGTTTAACTACCAAACTAGAAGCTGGGCCAACGTCAGCGCCAACAACAGCGACAGCGCCAGCGTCAGCGCCGCCTTCGATAGTTACGGCAAACTTTAAATAGACGGCCAGATTTATAGGCGAATTTCTATAGCATTTTGCCGCAAAGTAATTGAAAGCGCGCGCGTTTTTTTTTTTTTTTTTTTTTTTTTTGTTTGCGATTGGTTTTGTTTTTATTGCAATATTGTTTCCTTTTTATTTACCTAGCCACAGCGCTTGGGCCGCTTTGTTATTGTTGATGTTTGCTTGTAATTCGAGCGGCAACTGTTTTTGTTTTACTGCAATGCGTTCGGTTTCGGCCCGGCTCCGGCTCTGGCTCGGGCACACGTGCGTTGACGTCGCGACGCAGTCAAGACCGGCACATATTGTTGTGGTGTCTCTGGCTGCTTTTTTGTTTGCTTCTTATTTCTAACTGTTATATTTGTGCTCTTGTGCTTGTAGAGGTGGCTTTGGAGGAGAGCGTCATGTGAAGCAATTGCCAACGGAACCGCCATTTATTGCGTACGTGGGCAATTTGCCACAAGGTCTCGTTCAAGGCGATGTTATGAAAATATTCAATGACTTTGAGGTGAAAAACGTGCGATTGGTTAAGGATCGAGAAACGGATCAGTTTAAAGGCTTCTGCTACGTGGAGTTTGAAACGCTTGACAACTTGGAACGAGCTCTGGAATGCGATGGACGTATCAAATTGGATGACCTATCGGCCCCGCTAAGGATAGACATTGCAGATCGGAAGAGAAATGACCGGTGAGTCACGTGTCCATAACAATATAGATATATAGATATATATATTTATATGCAATATATGCGTAAACTAACTTTTGAATATCTTGTTATATAGCCCTGGTGGCGGAATTGGCGGCGGTGGCGGCAATGGCGGCGGCATGAATCGCGATGGTCGGGATGGGTTCCAGAAGCGCGGACCACCGCGTCAGGGCGGCACCAGTCAATCGTATAGCCGAGGCGGCCCTGGCACCGGCGGTGGTCGCGAGGCCGGTGGCGGCTCTGGTAATCGCGGCGATAGTAGAGGTTCGTACAATGATAATTATGGTGGTCACAGTGATAGAAGTCGTGGCGGCGCCAGCTCCGGCATGAATAGAGGATACAATGGTAAAGCATTTTTTATCAGCCACGCAAGTGAAACCTACTTCTTCAACCTCCAACCTTCAATACGTAGCTGCATATTCGTAGTCCTCAACCAAAAAACAAAAAACAAAAAAAAAAAAAACAAAAAAAGTACCAATCAAAATTGTAGTTGATTGCAAATTCGCATGGACAACAAATCAAATCAAATAAAATCCACATGCTAAGCGTGACAATTAATGCGGCATTCAGCATCGGCATCTTCCAATTCCACCTCGTACAAGTCTCTTCGACTATATTCGCACCCATTTTGTTTGCCTTAGTCATATAAGAGAAACCCTATTTAGTTATTATCGCTTTTCCGATTTATAGTTTGCTAGAATAGTCAGTTGTCGGACTCGAACTAAAGCGAAAACCGGAACAGACATTATTTTCTTATTTATTTTGTTTTCTCATTTGCGCTTTGCCTCTTATTGTTATTATTATTATATATATATATATATTTTTTTTTTACTTTTTATTTTTATTTGTATTTTTCTGCGTATTTTATCACCTCTGACTTGATTTTATGCCGGAGCGGTTTTCAACCTCTTACCTTTTGTCTTTGCATTTGCATTTGCAGCTGTTTGTTCTGTTACTTAAAACCTGCATCTCATATATTGATTTATATTCATATTTATCGGTATTCCTAGTATGATTTGAATTGATTTGCGTATGTAAATTGTAGCACGCTTCAAATAATTAATCAAACATCAAAACTGGGCTCGCATGCTGCTTGGCTCGATTCGTAGTGTAATACTAGGCTATATAGACGGCCCGTATCACTAGATACCCAGCATATAATAGTAATAATAATTAATTAATAATATTCTAGATATAGGGCGAGCGATAGTGTAATTAATATATAAATGTTCTTTGCAGATCGTCCGGCTAACCGCGGCCGATATGGCAACTTCAACAATGACGAGAGATTCGACCGAAATCAGGATCGGGATCGCGGCCAGCGCGAGGGCAGCTATGGGAATCAGTCGCGCGATGGCGACAGATATAACAATTTCAGTCGGCATCGTGATCGCGAGCGTACCCACTACAATCCCAACCAGCAACAGGAACGTCCCACTGGCATCGGCGCCATCGGTAACAATTCAATAATGTCTGGATCCGATTCGAAGATTGCTCATACTGAATTTCAAATTGCAGATGACACGGAGCGGCCACGCCTGCAGCTAAAGCCGCGTACAATTGCGGCGCCCATCAATGCGGTGGCCGAGACCAAACAAGCGGCAACCATTTTCGGCAACGCCAAGCCCCGAGAAGAGAAACTGAAGGAGCTGGAACAGAACGTCAATCACAATGGCGATAACTAGATGGCGGCGGCGGTGGCGGCGGCAACTCTGAAATCTTTAAATATGCCTAAATGATATTTAAACCAAGCAAAAAGTAAAAAGCAAAATAATAGAATTGATCCAGAAGAAGACGATGAGACGAGACGAGTTGACAGAAATGATAGAGGCATATATCATTTGTGTGAGAGAGCGGCGTGCATATATATGAAGAGAGGCGGAAGATGATGATGATGAAGATGATGATGATGATGATGATGAAGATGATGATGACGATGAGAATGACGATGGAGATGGAGATGAAAGCAAAAACAATACAAAATATAATTAATAACTATGCTATATACCTATTATATAAAAAGCTATGTACTATGCATACATAATACACATAAACAACATACTTGGCTGGCCCTCCCCATGTCGGCCAACAAACAACAAAGCAACTTAACAAACAAACAACAAACAACCAAGAAAAACGGAAACAAACAAATGTAATCACAGCAACAAACAATACGACAAAATACTTTCTTACTTCATGTGTGTTCGTTGGAAAGTGGAGCTAAGCGAACTGCAACAGCAATAAGAGCCACATTAACAGCAGCAACAACAGCCACATCATCAACAACAACATAAACAACAACATAAACTCGACAACAACAACAACAACAACAACAACTGCAATGGAAAGTCTTTAAATGTTAGTATGTAAGCAGCGGTAAAATTAGAGCCGTGCATATATCTATACAATATACGGTATAGCTCATATATGCGCGCTGCTATTTGTTAGTTAAGTAATGCATATGTAAACCAACAAAAACAAAAATTATAAAAAATACGTTCTACATTTAAGCGAAAAGTAAAGAAAAAAACAAAAAACAGCAAAATCTAAGAAAAAAGTGAAAAACGACAAAAAAAATACAAAAAAAAAAAAAACTAAAATTTGACAAGCGTTCAGCGTTAGCAAGCAGGCAAGGCAGTTTATACAGTTTATATAGCAAAAATACAAGAAAATACTATAAAAACGAAAAATATTTAACAAAAAATGGAAAAAAAAAACAACAACAAATATTTAAAAATGAAAAAAAAAAACGAACCGCAGTGAAATATAAAACACCAACTACGTACGTATTACAAAAACAAAATTCATAACAGCAAAAGAAACAAGTTTATATATAAATAAATAAAACACATAACTTCACACACACACACATAATATATATATATATATATATATATGTATATGTATGTGTATGTATATGCATATGTATATATATATATATCTATATATATAAACTATGTAATCCAAGAAAAAAGTCGTAAGTCGTGAATTCAATATATGACCACAGTTCTGTTCTCTTAATTTTCTATCTCTCTTGTTTGTAATATTTTTGTCTATATAATTTTTTTAAATTAAACATTTTGTTGAACAATTTTCATTGTTGTCGGCTTCAATTGGCAAATCAAAAAAATAAAACATATGCGCATGGACAGAGGGGAGGGACACGGCGTTGGCAGCGCAGCGGCGGTGGCATTGAAATCAATTTTTTTTTCTGTGTAGATAATTTAATGCAGGGCAAGCATATATATTAAGCAAAAGATGTCAATATATTTATATATATATATAATAATATATGTATATATCAACTTTTTTTTTGACGTGACAATTTTCAAATTAAAAACTCAAATGTTTTCCCTTAAAATGTTTCTTTTTTGTTATATTTTTTTTTTAAATATGTCCATTAAAAAAAAAAGTCGAAATCGTTTGAATAAGAACCAAATTAGTAACATTATTGAAATTTATTAAGACAAAGCAGATTTATTTAAATTTTTCTTTCTATTTTTTAAACAATGAAATTTATACTATATTTTTTTATTTTTATTTTCAAAATGTTGCCGACATATTTTGTTGCCCATTCTAATATACAAATTGTAATTTTGTTTAGTTCATAAAAAAAAAAAACAACTTTAGCATAAAAAATAAAAAAATGTGGGAAAACTAAAAATAAACAATATGAATATGGAGTAAATAACAGTTCGCCAACGTAACTGAGCACGCAAGCTATATATATATATATACATATGTGTGTATATATACATATTTGTATATATATATATATGTATGTATAACGTAAACTTTTTATAATTTTAGCTCTAATATTAAACAAAGTCAAAGATTTACCTACTATAAAGCGTAGACAAAACAAGTAGCAGCGGGCAAATAAGCAAAAGAAAAACAAGAAGAAGAAAATAAATTAATATTTGTATTTAAATAACATTTAAAGTCCCCTCCAGAACGCAAGCAACGTAAAGTTTACATTTATTTAAATAACAATAAAAATATATACTTATCCGAAGTTTGTATGTAATTAAGAACTTTGATATATGCATTTTAAATGACGCCCAGTATGAAAATCTATGGAAAATTAAAAAAAAAACAACTGAAAACTTAATAAAAATAAACAAAACAAAAAAAAAACTTTAAAAGAATTTATACAAAGCAAACAAAAATAGCCGTTAAATTATGTCTTAATAAATATGAAAATGAATATAAATATATATATGTATATTTAAATATATATATACATTTATATACATTAAATATATATATTTGGGTTCAAGCCATTCGCATATACCATACAAAGTTTAGCAATTAATCTTAGCATGGCAACAGCAACTTCTATAAATTATTTGATTAACAATGATTAAAAGAAATTAACAACTAAAACTATAACTAAAATAGTACACAACAATAACTAAATACAATATATAGTTTCATAATCGAATATCGTAAAAAGATCCAAAACACGCGCATCTTTCTACTCCAGAAACAACATCAGCAAAAAACAAAAACAAAATTGCAAAACAAACTTTAATTTAAAAATTCTTTAAATATATATATTACATTATATATATTTATTTTTGTTTTGTTATTTGAACATTTTGTCCGATATATATATATATATATATATATACATATACTTATGTATAGAAACAATTTATATACATTATTATTTATATAAACAAATATATAAATTGTTTCTTTTTTTCTGCCTCTGTATTTCGCCTTGACTCGACTTCGCCTGGCGCCCGCCCAGATTCAAGCAAAAAGTTCTGACCGCTGCCAGTGCTGGAAATGTTTGCGTAATATCGATAGCAAATTGATATATCGGAATTTTGAATTTCCCCAAATGATTTAGAGAAGCTTCGATTGTGGAGACTGGTTAAGTAAAAGGTTAAATATTTATATTTGATAGATAGTTATAGTTAGAGTTTAGTTGCGCTATTTGAAAAGCGCTGACACTCTAAACAGCTGCATTAGTTGTCTGCTGTTTGAACTGCTTGTAGTTCGTGATATGCGTGACTAAGTGATGACGTCACGCGCTCATCACAAGCGCCAAGCACTTATGTAAATTATATGTACATATGTATTTGTAAGTGCAGATATGTATGTATGTATATATGTATGTGTTAGTCAATATGCGTTGGTCAGTCTCATTTTATAACGGGGCCAATTGGAATGTAAGCCAAGCCCGCGCGCACACACATTTGCACATTCACACGCACACATCTGCACATGCACATATGTATGTATGTATAAACAGGACACTTGGCAACTCTGGAAGGTGTTTGGCGCGTCGCTGTCTCTGCCGCTGCATGATGTCATCGATGCAGCACGGGCTGCCAATTATAAGACACACACACGCACGCACACACAGGCATGCATAAAGAAGGATAAGTGCGTGAATAGCCAGCACATACATACATATATACATACACATATGCCAGAATGTGTGCCAACAGCGAGTGGCTAATGCATGTGTGTGAGTGTGATATATTTGGTTTGTCTTTTTGATGAATTTTTCAGCACTTGTCAGGTTTTTTTAAATTTTATTTTTGGGTTGTGTATTGTATTTACCGTTATCAGGGCGGGCGTAATGACGCCATTAGAAGGCCGAAATATAACGACAACAACAAAGAAAAGGCCAGTCGACAGCATTAGGCACCGTGTGTGTGTGTGTGTGTGTGCGTGTGTGTGTGTGTTCCCGCATAATTAATTGGCATTTAATTTGCATTTAAGCGTTGCTTATGAAAATCAATGGCAGCAACCCGCAGGAAATTCTCGCGCCGTTGTCCTTGCCAGCGACTTTAAGCCCTTTTTTTTTATCTTTTTAAGCCAGCTTAGAAACAGAAATCTGTTTGTACTTGTTTATGACTGACAATATATCAAATTATTTACACTTAATGTTGTTTCAACTAATTTAAAACTAACATTCATTCTTCTTCCCTTTCGTTTCTATTTCGTTTTCATTGTTTAGCTTTTTAATTGTTTCTTATGGCAGGACATCCTTGACATGCTTTTTCCAAATGTCCTTAATGAGTCGATGAGGCACAAATACCACATTTTAAATAAACAATTTCCTGTCCATTCCGTTTGCAATTGCGGTTATACCGAAGGTATACATAATTAAATAAAATATTTATCATAACCTAACTCTTTCCTAATAGCCAATGCACTGTATCATAGCTGAAGTACACGACCTACTTTAGTCCACTTTCATTTCTAAAGTACCCACCAAGTCCACTGAACCACTTGCTTAAATGAAGTACCAGCCTTGGTCCTATTTCATAAATACCAATTAGGGTACAATTGGGACAAAGCGTAAATATAGTACCTACTTCAGTCCGTTTTCTTAACTGAAGTACTAAATATTGAAGTGTTCTCTGTACCATTGGATAAATAGTGTACCTAGTACATATATGTGGGAATATCTATTCAAGACCAGAATTCTCGTCGCAGTATCCATACGGACGCCATAACCGGATTGCTATAACTTATTATACTCTACTTGTACCTAATCTCTCTGCATTTTCGCATTTGTACTTATTTTGTTACGGTCAAGCTTAGGATGTCGTTTCTGTGGTACATTTAATATCCGTTTGTCTGTCTTTAACTCTGTTGGTACCATTACGTGTTCTTGTTGTGTGCAAGGATATAACTTGTACCTATTTTACTACACTTTTTATAATGTGGAAGGTAATTCGTGTACTTGTACCTAAGCTTTATAAAGGCTAAATGTACGACTGGCTATCAGTAACTGTAGCTGTATTGGTACATTTCACCTGATTCATTTAACCTACCATTGCTTATCAGCTCCTGTACCTACGCCTGTTGCTGAGGTTATATGTAATCAAAGTACCTTTTTTGGTACACATTTTTCAGTGTAGTGTACCAAATCGACATGATGTAGCGCCCTACATTTGAACAATTTTGCTGATTTAAGCATTGCGAATCATCATCGCCTGTACCTGTGCCTGTTGTGGCACGACTCAAGCCCCAGCCAAGCGCCGAGTTCTCGCGCGGCTCTTGTGGATGGCATGTGGAACGCAAGTGGCAATTTGCATGGCAAGAATTTCGGCGGCTATTCCGTTCATCGCCCGCGGCGCATTGCAGTTAACCCCGAAAAACAATGAAGCAAATGGCATCAGCAGTCACACAAGACACACACACACACACACACAAGCATAAACAAACACACACACATACAGATAGACACACACTTTGCATGTTGTGCTCCATTTTGAGGCTGTTTTGGCTGAGTGCCTGCCAAAAAATCAGTCAACTGCATGCAGCAAGCAGTTGAGCAAATCGCGTGCCGTACATTTCATCCGAGCCACCCCAGTCCCCAGGCCCGCCTTTATCCTCACCACCCCCACCCCCCCACCCCCCACACGACTTGGCTTGGCTGGTGCAACTGCACCGGCACATGTTGCTCTGCTGATGGGGCCCGCAATTTGATGTCTGCCCCACAAATTGACTGTGGCACAGAGTTGAGCGTCAAGCGTTTGGCTTTGTGG